CCCCCACCCCGGGGGCAGCGCAGGGACCCCCCCAGGCCCCGCCCCCGCTGGGGGGGGAGGGGCGGCGGCTTCTCCCTGTGGGGGAGGGGCGGAGAGAGATCAGGAGGGGGAGGGGAAATTGGGGAGAATTTGGGGTGAAAATCGGGTGAATTTTGGGTGAAATTTTGGGTAAATTTCGGGTAAATTTTGGGTGAATTTTGGGTAAAATTCGGGTGAATTTTGTGTGAATTTTGAGTGAATTTTGGGTGAATTTCAGGCAGATTTTTAAGTGAATTTTGGGCAAACTTTCTGTGAATTTTGGGTGAATCTTGAGTGAATTTCAGGCAAATTTTGACTGAATTTTGGGCAAATTTTGGCTGAATTTTGGGTGAATTTTGGGTGAATTTCAGGCAAATTTTGGGTGAATTTTGGGTGAAATTCGGGTGAATGTTGAGTGAATTTTGGTCAAATTTTGAGTGAATTCTGGGCGAATTTTGGGCAAATTTTGAGTGAATTTTGGGTGAATTTTGTGTGAATTTTGACTGAATTTTGGGTGAATTTTGGGCGAATTTCGGGTGAATTTTGGAAAAATTTCGGATGAATTTTGACTGAATTTTGTGTGAATTTTGGGTGAATTTTATGTGAATTTTGGGCGAATTTTGTGTGAATTTCAGACAAATTTTGTGTGAATTTTGACTGAATTTCGGGTGAATTTTGAGTGACTTTTGACTGAATTTTGGGCAAATTTTGGGTGAATTTTGGGCAAATTTTGACTGAATTTTGTGTGAATTTTGTGTGAATTTTGTGCGAATTTCGGATGAATTTTGTGTGAATTTTGTGCAAATTTCGGGTGAATTTCGGGTGAATTTTGGGTGAATTTTGTGCAAATTTCGGGTGAATTTTGGGCGAATTTCGGGTGAATTTCGGACAAATCCCCCCCAGATTTTTCCGCTCCTTCCTCACCTGCTCGCAGCTCCCCCTGCTGGGCTGTCCCGGCCGGAAGCGGCTGGACCGGAAGCGGCAATACCGGAAGCGGCAATACCGGAAGTGGCAGTACCGGAAGTAGTGCCGGAAGTGGCCGTGCCGGAAGTGGAGGTGGCGGGAGCGGCGGAACCGGAAGTGGCGGGACCGGAAGTGGCGGGGCCCGGGCCTTCCTCGCCCTCCCGCTCCTCCAGCGCCGCCCGCAGGCGGTGCC